CTTTCTCCAGAGCTGCACAGAGCCCCTCACACAGCTCACCACCAGCTCCATTTTCTCCACCGGGCAATAATCTGGTGTGTGAAGAAAAAAACCAACCCAAAACAACTAAAAAAAGGCTCCTTCCTGTTCTGCTTGAACAAATTATTCCCCAATTTACTAAGCTGTTTGCAGGAGCTGCAGGCACCTGCTGCCGGGGAAGGGAGCTCCCAAACAGGCGTTGAGCCCTGAGGACAGGAGGGATTTGGGGGGCAAAACCCCCCCAGGGCAGATCTTGGGTCGTGTTGATGTGAGAAATTCTGGCTTTGCTAAAGAATAACGGTCCAGACGGTACCAAAACCCCCACTTTTTGTGTTAAAAAAACCCATCTGTCTTTGAAGAGAAAGTCTTGCAGACGCACAAGGGACGGGCGGCCACCCCAAATGTGTGTCCTCCCTCCCCCCACGCAGGCAGACGCCGTCCCTAGACCACCAACATCCTTCAGGAGTTTGGAATTCCCAGAAATTCATCATCTTCCAGGAATATTGAGATTCCTGGAGCCTCTTCTCCCCCATCCCCCCTCAACACACGCAGCCAGACGTTACCTCCGCGCCGGCGTTTCTACACAACCCCAGATTCTTCCTTATAAAGACACAGGCAGTCGCTGCCACCTCTTATTTATGGTCCTTCCCACCCCTAGAAGCCACGGCGCTGCTTCAGCTTCACACACACTGGGGGGGTTTCCCCCCCCCCTCCCCAACCCCCAGCCCCGTAAAGAAACGAAGCAAAGACAAGAGCTCCTCGTTGGGAACCAGCCCCCCGGGTTCCTCCTCGGGGTCTGGAGCACACGGGTATCTGAGGGGTGGCTGGGTTTGGGGAGGGAGGGATGGACAGACAGACATCTTTGACTCCTCTATCTTTCTCAGGCTCAGGGTCAAAGAGTTGTCCAGGTTGGAAGGGACCTTTCAGATCATCGAGTCCAACCGTCAACCCAACACTGACAAAACCCACCACTGACCCGTGTCCCTCAGCACTGCATCTGCCCAGCTTCTAAATCATAGAATCATGGGATGGTTTGGGTGGGAAGGGACCTTAAAGACCATCTAGACCATGGTAGGGCCACCTCCCACCAGCCCAGGTTGCTCCAAGCCCCCTCCAACCTGCCCTTGAACCCCTCCAGGGATGGGGCAGCCACAGCTTCTCGGGGCAACCTGGGCCAGGCTCTCACCACCCTCAAAAATAGTTCTTCCCAATATCTAACCTAAATCTCTCCTTTTTCAGCTCAAAACCCTTCCCCCTTGTCCCATCACTCCCCTCCCTCATCAAGAGTCCCCCCCCAGGGATGGTGACTCCACCACTTCTCTGGGCAGCCTCTTCCAAGGAGCTTTCCTGCTCCTTAGCCAAGCAGAACCTTTCCTCTTGGTTTATCCCTCAGGATTCAAACATCTGGGTCACCAGACAGAGACACAGCCACCCACTGGGTGTCCAGGACATCCTGCTGGCACCGTCACCAGCGACACTCCAGCTGGTGACTTCAGGGTGGCCAAGATTTTGGAAAACACTCTTGTGGTTTTCATCCCAGGCAAACTCCAGCGCTCTTCCCGTCCAAGGGAGGGTGGACACCCGGCTTTGGGGAGCATATTGTCCCCAAGAGCCACCACTGCCAGGTCTGGGCTGCAGATGGAGGCTCTGGGAGCAGTTCCTCCAGCCTCACAGGAGCAGTGTTGGGGTGGAGATCCACCACGGTCCATCTCTAGTGGGTTTTTCAGAGGCTGCTTGGAGTTTTCGGGCACCGAATCGTTCTCTGGGAGCGATGTCCCTCTCCAAGAAGCCTGAAGCCTGGGCAGAACCATCTCCTGGGCTGAGGCATCGGAGCTCCCTGGGTGGCAAGTCCCCATCCCCATCCTGTCCCACCTGCAGGGACACGGGGTTGACATCGCTCTGCCTGTGCTTCGGCGGGGCCATTTCTCCCTCTGCCCACCCTTATGGCTCCTTCTCCATGGAAAGATGGAGACAGGGACCCTAAAAAGTTCCTGGGAGTGTCTCTAAGTGTCCCCAGACCCACCATCACAACATCCCTGCCAACTCCACTGGGAATTAGAGTATTATCCCATCCCATCACTGATCCTGCCCCTTCCCACCCACCTGAGGGACCATTCAGTGTCCCACTAACGTTGCCCATCACAGAACACCCCCTTCCAGCCCATTCCCAGTCCCTTCCCAGCAGTTCCAGCCCCATGGTCCCAGCCAGCATCTCCCCTGACGTTGGGATTTGCTCCCAATCATTTCTCTTCCAGGTCTTGGATCAAAAATTACAAGCTCCAGTTCCATCCCCCTTCCAGCACGTGCTCCACAGCCCCCAGTACAGCCACTGGGAGAACACGAGGCAGCAGGTAAAACCCCCTCAGCCCTAAAACCTCTCCTTAATGGTTTCTAAACTCTGATCTCTGGCCCCCAGAGGTGTGGGAGATACTGGAGGACAAACAAGGCTGTCACAGAGACATCCACACCATCCAGTCTGCGGGGAAACACGGGATGAACCCCAAATCCAGGGAGATTTGCACCAGACCATTCAGTGTCCCACTAACGTTGCCCATCACAGAACACCCCCTTCCAGCCCATTCCCAGTCCCTTCCCAGCAGTTCCAGCCCCGTGGTCCCAGCCAGCATCTCCCCTGTCGTTGGGATTTGCTCCCAATCATTTCTCTTCCAGGTCTTGGATCAAAAATTACAAGCTCCAGTTCCATCCCCCTTCCAGCACGTGCTCCACAGCCCCCAGTACAGCCACTGGGAGAACACGAGGCAGCAGGTAAAACCCCCTCAGCCCTAAAACCTCTCCTTAATGGTTTCTAAACTCTGATCTCTGGCCCCCAGAGGTGTGGGAGATACTGGAGGACAAACAAGGCTGTCACAGAGACATCCACACCATCCAGTCTGCGGGGAAACACGGGATGAACCCCAAATCCAGGGAGATTTGCACCATGTGCCTCTCGCACCCCTCTTTCCATCCCACTTTCCCCATCCATAATGTATCCATAGATTCGGTATAGATTTAGTGTCTCACCACCTCTGGGGTTGTCCATAATCTCTAATCTTACTCGTTTTAGGTCTCTTTACCTGAACCCCCAGCCTGAACCCCACATCCAAGGAGATTTGCACCACGCACCGTGTGCCTCTCGCACCCCTCTTTCCATCCCACTTTCCCCATCCATAATGTATCCATAGATTCGGTATAGATTTAGTGTCTCACCACCTCCGGGGTTGTCCATAATCTCTAATCTTACTCGTTTTAGGTCTCTTTACCTGAACCCCCAGCCTGAACCCCACATCCAAGGAGATTTGCACCACGCACCGTGTGCCTCTCGCACCCCTCTTTCCATCCCACTTTCCCCATCCATAATGTATCCATAGATTCGGTATAGATTTAGTGTCTCACCACCTCCGGGGTTGTCCATAATCTCTAATCTTACTCGTTTTAGGTCTCTTTACCTGAACCCCCAGCCTGAACCCCACATCCAAGGAGATTTGCACCACGCACCGTGTGCCTCTCGCACCCCTCTTTCCATCCCACTTTCCCCATCCATAATGTATCCATAGATTCGGTATAGATTTAGTGTCTCACCACCTCTGGGGTTGTCCATAATCTCTAATCTTACTCGTTTTAGGTCTCTTTACCTGAACCCCCAGCCTGAACCCCACATCCAAGGAGATTTGCACCACGCACCGTGTGCCTCTCGCACCCCTCTTTCCATCCCACTTTCCCCATCCATAATGTATCCATAGATTCGATATAGATTTAGTGTCTCACCACCTCTGGGGTTGTCCATAATCTCTAATCTTACTCGTTTTAGGTCTCTTTACCTGAACCCCCAGCCTGAACCCCACATCCAAGGAGATTTGCACCACGCACCGTGTGCCTCTCGCACCCCTCTTTCCATCCCACTTTCCCCATCCATAATGTATCCATAGATTCGATATAGATTTAGTGTCTCACCACCTCTGGGGTTGTCCATAATCTCTAATCTTACTCGTTTTAGGTCTCTTTACCTGAACCCCACATTTATTCCCCATTCCCATTCCCAGCTCCGGTTCCGGAGCAGCCGAGGGATGGAGGGGAGCTGTGAAATGCCCAGAGGGAGCTGAGCTTCACCCAGGGCTGTCCCTCTGCTTTTAGGCTATTTCTGTCTCCTAATAACCCCCCATCCATCTGCGCTCTGCCATTACCCCGTGATTCAATTAGCCTCAAAATCAAATTACTCTTGGCTCTTGCCACCCTGTTATCTCTCCAGATCCTCAACTGGTCAAGCCAGTCCAGGCGAACAACAGACACCCCCCCCCCCTGAGACCCCCCCCCCCCCTGTGTTTTTATCCCCAAAATCCGTGGTTTTATCCCCCAAATTCCCCATCCTAACACCAGCCTGACTCTGAACAGCCCCTGGGCCTCATCCAGTGGCCACAACTCCATCCAGTGCCCACCACGAGCTTGGGAAGGGTCATCAGAGGCGGGGAAAAGAGGGGGGGGGACACGTTTTTCAACAAGATGTTGAATCCCTGGTTAAATTCCTCCCTTTTCCCTTTCCGGGGCGTTGAGGAGGGGGGGAATGCGGGAGATAAGGGGTGCAATTCCTGCCAGGAGACCCGAGTTATTCCCAAATAAAGCTGGGAACCAGAGCAGTGTCCAAGTTAATGCCGGGGGAACGGGGAGAGGAGAAGGAAGCCGGCGGGCGGAAAAGAAGGATGAGAGGCTTTAAAAAGCCTTAAAAGGATTTGATGTGAATCCTTTCCGTGGGTCCAACCCTTGGGAAAATGTCTCCCAGCCAGAGCCGCCATGGGAATCCACCCACCGGGGCCAAATTGGGAAGAAAAAAAGCCCCCTCTCCTAAAAAAAAATGCTCCTGGGGATGGAGGGGCTGGGAAAATGTCGTGTCCCCTCGGTGTGGGCTTTTCATATGCAAAGGGGAGGAAGAAGAAGAGGCGGGGGGGAGAAGTGGGGGGATGGGCAAAGGAAAATGAACCCGATCCTACCTCCTTCTCCGAGATGTAAAGCTGATCCCCCTTCAGAACCACGTAACGGTTTTTCCAGATTTCCCGAAAAATGCCCTTCCCGCAAAATTTCCGCACCCAGCCCACCTTCTCCGGCTGCAGGGATTGCTGGTTTCCATCCTGGGGCCCCTGACACAAAGAGAAAGAGGGATGAAAAGATGAAAACGGGGGGGGAAAAATGCTATTATTCTGGCTTTTACGCTTTTCTCCCCCCTTTTCCTCCCCACTTTCCCCCCCCC